ATTAACTTATTTGAGATCATAATAGAAGGTCACTATTCAAGGCTTATAACTCTTTCTTGGAGTTTGACAGAATTATGTTCCTTTTTAAGTATAGAAAAATCTTCATTATCAAGGCACTTGATTAACTATCGAGCATTGAGAAGAGTCAAGCGCGCTATATTAATGTCCTACCGACAGTTCTTAATTATATGCGTGATTCTGACACCATGTAAAACCGCTGAATCCAGTTATCTTATTATCAAAACATAACACACAAGCGAGTTAAAATCAATACACAAACGCAGTTATATTTCTATCGACGTTTACTTTTATACAAGAATTACTATTATACATGTTTTAGTGGAAGTTAAATCCTGAGCCCGTTGGCACGCCCGGCAAACTGTCGCTCCACTTCAAAATTGTGGTGTACGGTAAAACGAGCGAACGGCATTTCCGAGATAGAGCGGAAGGCCGATTTAAACGCCTAATTGTAAGTATTGTTTATGTTTTTGTCTTGTTATTCATTTTAGTTGTATTTTTTCGAAAAACGGAAAATGTGGTTCCGTGTATTATTTTCGTCTGTAAGTGTAAATAGAAATTTCTACTATAGCTAGGTCTATTATATTATTGATAATTTTAGTCCGTACACCGACTGAGTTCTGCCTCACTTTCAGAGGAAAATAATAAACTAAACAACAATGCTAAATAAGGGAGGAAGTATCTTGAAACATAACTGGAACACGTGTTATATCCTTATAACGACTGACACCTTTTCAACCATTTTCATAGCGATTCCCCACCTTTCAAATTCATGAAAACGTGACTTATTTGTGTTTTGCTCAGAACATGTACGTTAGAGCTATTAATTACAGAAAGTCATTGTGAACTGAACTCGGTAGTAGTGATCCATTTAATTCAATGCGTTCCATGCATTGCATAATTTTGTTTCTGTTCTGCACCTTGAATTTCTAAATTTTCGAAAAACATAACATTTTGGCGTGAACAATCGAGTTACACGTACCTGCTCGGAAATATTTGTTCGCGGTAGAACTAAAAATATTCGATTTTGTCGCATTTGCACGGACACACGTTTTTAAATGTACATAACCGTGTCAAAAATCATGATTGACCTCGAATAAGTGGCATCCTGTATTATGCCATGCATTAATGTGTATGATTCAATGGTCGGGCCTAATCCAAATTTCGAACATAAATAATGGAATCTACACGGCAGCCATAGGTGACACCTTCGAGATTACAGTTATTACGCTATAGTCGTTGAAAGGACATCACAATAAATTAGTTCTCTTTAAAAGGTATATATATCTCGGTCTTAACACTTGATCATGTCTATTTTAACTTCTATAGCTTTTATTTATAAAAATCATCGACTACGCTCCTCCTAATACGTCAAATTAATATCGCCTTGCGCTCAACATCGAACCTTTTGCTCCATCTCTTGCCCTTTCGCTCCACTACTTTCGAAAAATATCGATTTACAAATTTAAGAACTCTTTCAAGAGTAATTTATTTTGCACGAAGGACAAATTCTTATTACGGGTTGATAATTTACTAATGCACTTTTTCAAGAAATCCGAAAGGTATGGCATTTCTATGGTTGGGAAGTTCAATATTCTACAAATCATCGTTCGCTTCGCCAGGGAGAAAAGTTCTCCCGGGCTTAATATAATTTTCTTTTTGTAACAGGTTAGATCATTGGAAGCCTAAATCAATCCTACACGGAACTACATTTTCCTTTTTCTTAAATAAATAACAAGACAAAAACATAAACAATATTTACAATTAGGCGTTAAAATCGGCCTTCCGCTCTATCTCGGAAATGCCGTTCGCTCGTTTTACCGTTCACCACAATTTTGAAGTGGAGCGACAGTTTGCCAGGCGTGGTTGGGCAAGGGCTTAAGATGCGTGCTTCTGCGTAAGTTAATGCACGAACAAGGTGCATAAACCCTCTATGGTATTATATATTTAAGTTCACACAATTTAGCTCATCAGAAAAAAATGTTCGGGATAAATTATATATAAGTAAGGGAGGAGGTTGGGGGTTTCTTGGAATCCGGTCTTTCTAAATTTCTTTAAATAAATTTAGTTTGTAGCATCCTTGTGACACGTAAGGAACGTGTTACAGTATCGCGCTTTCCGGTTGCAGTATAGAATTTTCAAGAAGAGGATTATTTGTGAGGAAGACAGGTAGGTGATTTTGATTCCGGTCCATACAACAAGGAGTTAAGTTTCTAAAAGATGATTTTTGTGTTTCGCTAGTAAGGAACATGATCCGGTATCTAGTCATCGTAAGGAAAAGGATCCGGTATCTAGTCATATATATTTCTTCGTACCCTGCACCGCAGTATTATCTCTATATTGTCTCATAAATATGCGGATTTGACATTTTAAAAATTTGAATCGAGAGACCAACGCATTTTGTTTCCCATTCCGACATTATGTTAGCATGCCTACAAAAAGTAAATTTACAAAACGTTAGTCCTTTGTGTTTAGAAACGTTTATAAAAGTAAACGACCAGTTGGACCTATTTTCCTGTTGGTCAAATGCGTTTGAAAAAATAAACAAAGTTACAGTATAGAGCGAGGTGAATTTTGCAGGGTTATACGAGTTATACGTCAATTGCGTTTGAAAAAATAAACAAAGTTACAGTATTGAGCGAGGTGAATTTTGCAGGGTTATACGAGTTATACGTAATATAGACCGAGTGATTTCGATCCGATCTTTTTACAGTAAAGCATAAAAGTATATACAGTTTAGTCGCCAATAACCAATCACTTCCGGAACAATTACTGAAATTTCCATGTAAATTAATGATGTTTAATATGTCATCACATATTTCTTACTGTTATTAGTACATGCAATAAATAAAGACAGATTTATCAAAAAAACCTTTCTTTTGAATAACTTTCAGTTTCTTTTTTGGCCATCGCTGATTCCCCAAAAGCGGATCAGTATCTCCAGTAAAGAATCACGTGACATTTGAATGCAGGGACTTTCTCAAAACAGACAATATTGACAGAAAACAGCTGATTTTTATTGAAATGAACTTACATATTCAAACTTGCAAAAACACATGATAATGAGATGTATTTTAACGTCTTTAATAAAAGCTAGCCTATATCCTTAAGTATTGCTAATAAAATGAGACATGTGCTTGTGATTATAACAAATTAACATGCTTATAGTTCTTTCAGAAGTTCCATAATCTTGCCCTCAGTGACATTATCCAAACATTTCTTAAGTTTATTAAAACACAAATCAATATCACAAAAAGAGTATTGGCAAGATAAAACAATGCCACCACCTTCCTGGTCTTTAGATGGCCATGGTGGAAAACTAGGTACTGGGTTCCCAGTGACTTTCTTTAGGGATTCTTATTTCACTCTATTTTTTCGGCAAGTATCTTGCCACCATTATCTATGACATCACAAAATACCTCAGTGAGACATTTAGGCACATGTCCAATAGGTAACCCGGCTACATCACTTAAAGTTTATTGTCCTTTTTCATCAGTGAACTGATCATGAATATGTTCCGGGAATGTTTCAAAAGGCGGTAGCCAGACAAGACAAGCATTGCATCATGGGTATTTGTGTACTCCCTATCAATAGTTAGTTGTGTAGGTGGATTTGTTTTGGGAGGACGGATTTAAAAGACATGATAACCTTTAATAACAGAGTTTTTCAGTAAAACTTTTGTAGGGTTTGAAGGCAGTTTCCCATCAGGTTATTGGTCACATCTGCTACTTTTAGACAGAAGACTGAAAATATAATATATTATATCTAAGCAACTAAGAATACAGTTCTTGTATTAATGATACAATATTGTATTAGTAAAGCATTAAATACTAAAAAAGTTACCGAAAAAATATATATATAACTCAAAAGGCTAAAAAAGAAACAAACAGTATTAATTAGATGCACATTATTATTATTATTATTATAATTACAGTATTTTACAACATATAATTATATATAATTATATGCTTTACTTTTTTAATTTGTTACTCTTTAATCACTCTTGAAAAAAAAATTAATGGAACTTAGTGATTGGTTAATGAGATAAAGTTCAACAGAAAACAACTAATATTCATCTAATCTACCTCAATATAATGATATTTAGCACATAGTGTCAGTTTTTATAGCATCTAGGACATAGGAATGGGTCATTTTCACTAATTTCATAATTGAGACAAACTGTATGCATCCATTTCTGGTAAAGGTCACATTCTACCCACACTCTACCAAAACCCAGTTCCTCATCCTCCTTATACGTCATGTGACAAGCTTCACAACACACATCATCATTATCATGGCTTTGGACGTCTTTCAGGAGTTTTTCACAGGCAGACATAGGCACTTTCCACTTTGCTGACAGTGACCTTGAACCTTTCTTTCTGCTAGGACATTGCTGTTTACTCTTTTGCTTAATGTATTTCTCTTTTCCTTTTTTTCTTTCTCAGCAAATGCCTTCACTTTTTCTATGTGTTTCAGAGAAAAAGTTCTTATACTATCTTCTGATGTTTAATTATCAGGAAGGATATTTGTTAAAGTTTTTCTAACAGGCTTTGGGGGCTCTACAACCTTTGGCAACCTCAAGCTTTCCAACAGTATTGGTGATACAGTGGAACAGCTGGAACTAGGACGAGGCTGTTCTTGGTCCTTCCGAAATATGGCTGCATCAGCAAGAAGTTCAAGACCACTATATGGCTGAGAGTCTGCAGCTGGAAATTCCTCTTGTGAAGTTTCTTGTAAACATCAAAGCAAGGTGATTCTCCTTCCAAGTCATATCCTTCCATCAGACGTGTGTCATACCTTTCCTTAGCAGGAGTTGAGAGACTTTCTTCAAGCATTTCTTGTGCACCTCTGGCCTTTGTCTGTTCTTCAGTCACAGATGCTTGTTGTTCTGAGGTACTGTCAGGTGTTGTTGCAGACGCACTATCACTGAAAGTCAATGACGGCTTTAACATATCACTGGTGATCACAGTGCTATCTACAGGCTAGATGCCTGATGCCCTAAATGCATTAATTACAGTTAAAGGTTTGTAAAACTGTAAGTATGCTTCTGTAAGTTTCTGTGCAAAATTTTCCTTTTCAATTGTTTTGCCTGGATTTTCACGGGTGTATTTTCTACACACACCATGCCATTTTGTTTTCATTGGCCCAAAAACACCCTTATCTAAGGGCTGCATCAAGTGGATAGCATTTGGCACAATTCTATATAAATCGATGCCTTTTGCCTTTGCGCTTAGAAATATGTCTGGGTCAATGTGACTACTCACACTGTCAAAAAGCAAGACGATAGGCCGTTCTTGTCCGGAGAACTTGTCAAAGTGATCGATGAATTTTCCAAATGTTATGTTATTTATCCATCCCTTCTTGGTGTAAGCAATATCAGCTCCCTCCAATGCACCACTCAGTGGGTTGTACCCCTTTGGTTTAGGCTCTGGGTAGACAAAGTAGGGTGGTAACATCTGTCCTGCAGCATTACCACAAAACATAACAGTTAGCCTCTGCTTCCCACTTGTAATGTGAGGTACTGCTAAATCTCTTCGTGCAGGCCCTATAACCTTACTTTTGTTGGCTCCAATATTAAATCCCACTTCATCTGCATTCCAGATTCTGCCAGGCAAATTCATCAACTCTTTACCAATAAGGAAGTCCTTAAACCTGTTATACCACTCATCTGTTTTCTGTTTGGTGACTTTTGACCTCTTAATTTCTAAATCGGTCTCTGTCCGGGAGCTGATAATATGTTTGTTTCTATTTAGAAATGCATAATACCATTTCTTACCAGGCCGACCTGACTTAAAAGGTGTCTTTCTTTTCTCTCGTTTTACAACATCTTCCACAAAATCTAAAAATTCACATGGTTTTAAACCAAGCCCACGCTGTGCCATTTCACTAAGCCACTCAGCCATTTTCTCCTCCTCAGCTTCAGTAAAAACAAAATTTGGACCTTAACACTTAAACTAGTCTTCTTCTCCTGAATAACGTCTATACAGAAAGGAATAAGTAAGTGAGTTTTCCTCTGCTGCTTTCCTCAATGATTTTCCTTCCTTACTTACACTAAATAATGCCTTCTTTAGTCTTTGTCTCTTGTCAGGGGTCACACTTCTACCACACTTCTTTAGAAGAGTCTTTGCCTTTTTCTGGGTAGGAGTTTTAAGTTTCGTACCCATGATCTGAAATTAAATGTAATATTTATATCTTATAAAATTAAATACTGTAGTGCCTACATGAACAATAACAGTTCATAAATAAACAGAATATACGCAACTATGTAATATTGAACTTAATATACTACTGTCTACAGATTGTATTGTCTAATCATATGTTAATAATCAGATGCTTGTAAACTTGAGTTTTTTATAAGTAAAATCATATAAAACAAAAAAATGAATGGAAAATGTAATTTTGACACATCAAATCATGTTTGAGACGACCCCCATGTTACCTAGTTTACCCGCCATATTGCGTATTTCTTATGTTAACCGCTACTAGCGACTACACATGGGCTTACATTGGTGCTAAAATAAGTTGTTTAATATTATAATTCGTTTATGTATTTTGTTTTATTTTGATCTATGGAAACTTACCTTTAATAATGCTATAAAGCTTTTGAAAAGAAACATCAAATTAAATCAGCGCAGTATGACGTTTCCGAATTTTATGTTTCAAAACGAGGCTACAATTGCGTACATGTCGGGTACCCGTAACACGGATAGCATCATGGAAAAATAAATAGGTCACCATCGAAGGTAAACAAAGTGTATTCATATCTGCTAAAGGTTCCTGAAAACAATAACAGCGTTTAAATAACATTTTCTTTGACAATAATAATTATAGATAGTAAGTTTAACGATTTTGATTCGCTACTAGAGAAGACCAAACTGTACCTAGATTTCGGTTTCAGTTAAGATACTTGCCAAATTTCAAGTAAAGTTCGTGTATCCATTATTTTCTTTTATAAAAGAGCCCATACCTTTCTATTTAATATATTCTTGAAGGGTTGCATTACATTTTTAATTCAGCAGAAAAGTTATAGTTTGCTATTTTCCTTTATAATCCCCAGGCTAAAAATTGCGTGTGCCCTAAACGAGAATAAAATGTGTGAAACGAAATGAAATGGAATTTTGAAAGGGGGTCGGGGTATTGAAGCCTGCATACCACGGTAAGCTGTCAAAAGACACAATTAAAAAGCAGGCAATATACCCTAAGGGTCATTTAACAGTATTCAAGTGAGAAATACAGCAACCTTAAAACTTATTTTAAGTTGGAATTTTCATCTAAAATCATGTATTTTGCAGCTGACAGGTTGATGATAAGTAGATTGATACTAACATAACTTCATAGCAGACGACAGTTTGGTAATGATTATATTGGTTCGGAAAGTGTAAGCAGACGACAGTTTCGTTATAATAATAAATTTCGTCAGTATACGTATTAGAAGACGATAGTTTGGAATAAAATGGTTTGAATAAAATTCAAGTATTAGCAGACGACAAGTCGCCAATTTGTTTTTGTACCGCTATGAAAGAGACTGTATGTTGAGTCTCTCTAAAGATAAACAACAAGATGTTATAGTCGCATTTAAAATACTTCCAGATACCTTGATGATATTTTCAATTTAGATAATTTTTATTTTGATCAAATGGTGTCTGACATTTATCCCCATGAACTACAACTTAATACAACGAACTCTCGAAATTTTAGTACATCATTTGTAGATATTAAGTGTTGAGAATTGAGTACCGCTCAAGCCGGTGCTAGGGGGCGTGAGGGATGTTGCACCTATTCAATATCCCATATGTACAGACTCAATCAAACCGAGTCTGCAATTCTCTTGTAATTTTGTTGTGATTAATGCTTCCGAAGGATCACTTTGTTTCCAGATTTTTCATATTACTATCAACAACAATTATATTCACAAGAAAATTTATAATAAAGAAGATGACTTTGACTTTTGTATAGTTAATTATCCACATTTAGATGGAGACGTACCCCATGCTACATCTTACGGGGAATGTGTTTCTCAGTTAATTAGATTCGCTAGAGCTTGCAGCAACGTACAGGATTTCAACGAGCGTACCAGCAAGCTTCTAAAACAGGGCTACCGCTATCATAAATTACGGAAATAGTTTACAAAATATTACAATCGTAATTTTGATTTAGTTTTAAAATTCAAAAGTGATTTAAAAACTCTTCTGCGACAAGGGATTAGCTAGTCTGGTTTTAATGGCGATGTGATTTACAAACTTCGTAAGATTTTGAGTCATGGTAATTTTTCAAAATTTTTAAACGTTTTATTAAAAGAGGTTATGACCCTACTATTTTATGATAAAATTGCATGCTTAGTGTTCAACCCTTTTACAGTTAAACACTATGCTTTCCTCTTTTGATTACATCTGACGGACCAAGTGCGAAACAATGATGGACAGTTGCGTTCGTTGAACGCCGCCTTTCCTTGTTGATCATATATAAGAGCCCTTTGGGACTAAATTGCCGTAATGTTCGGCCTTTGCCTTGCTTCGTCGGGCCCTTGTAGGTGATTTTTTGTTGCTCTGTCTTCCTTTAGGACATTGAGTACGTTTGTTATGGTCATTGGGTTTACTTTTATATGTTTCTACATGATCATTTGGTGTTTTAATTATTTAACCTTTTGTAACCATAACAACTGTTAGAATTTCACTTTGCGGGGATTAATTTTATTTACACTGTCTAGGTTATAGGAACATGGTGGGGCTAAGAGTGAGGTTTGGTGTACCATTAACCGGTTTAAACTCCCAAGCAGTACTTGTGCTGCTGACCTTTCCAAGGCGGCGCCCCTCTGTGTTCCTCAGATGTATGTCTAAGTTGCTTCATACTGTTTGGTGACACTTTTGCTTATGTCCCTTGTTGTTTTCTCTACTACGGTAAGTATTCCTCCTTTGCCCCTAGGTTTATTTCTTTAATTACCCCCCCCCCCTTCCCCGGGTCTTCTGTCCCCTTTCCCTGTGCCCGTAACAATTTTTTTCCTATTATTCAATCATTTATTTGTTTTCTTTGAATTCCTTATCAGTTACAAATTATTTATCATTTTAGTGATTAGACTGACCGTGCTCTGCCTTGTGCCCTGTCCTGTTTTTGTTTGGGGACGGCCTGGGCTCCTTGACACTGGTTCTTTTTGCTGGGTCGTGTAGGGGATGCGTTCATTGAACGCCGCTTTTCCTTCTTGATCCTGTTTATCATATTTTAGCAGACGACAGTTTGGTGATAATCTGATAATCAAAATGGTTCGAATAAACTAAAATAAAAGTTCGAATTTCTTAAGAAATTTAATAGCAACAAACACATGTATTTTTTTAATAAAGCCGTGACTTAAATATACGTAACTTTAATCAAAGAAGAACTAAATTCCAAATTAAAACTGTACTGAAAAATTGCCCGTAGCCAAAATGCATAGAGCCAACATAGCCGCGCAAACAGGCCGAAAACTATGATAATAACCTTAAACTATGCATAACCTTCCAGGGAAAGGTACTGCATAATTATAGCTAAGGAGAAAACGGGGCGAAAATGCTTCCAGAGGTCTCCAAACAATGAGATGGTAAAATAAGTAAGTGTAAATAAAATACACAGTGTAACGATGTTACGAAAAATGTGATACTGAGTACTTAAAATATGCCACACCGAGATGCATTTGATGTATTAAGCGCCAAATGATATTTTATGCGGACATAAAATTTACCCAATATTTTGGATTAATCGAACACGGCCTTATTGCTATTGATTTAATAAGTTCTTGTAAAGATGCTATGAAGATGTCAAGGCCAATTGGAGATAAATGCTCACCATCGTTACGAAACAAGCCTTGGGTATCTGCTGTGATTTCAGCATGTTTTAGACAACGCCCACCATGAGCTAGAACGGTGCTAGAACAGACCGGTTCACGCATTTTCTTGCCTTTTCCACTAAAGATAACTGGCGATCAGAATGTCAATTGAGCCTTGACAAAATGGTCGACCATACTATCGTGGTTGTCGGGCCTGCTAATAGCGAGATCTGGAGAAGGTCATTTTTAAAGTTATTTACTAAGACACCCTTTTTAACCTTTATTAAACCGTTGCAGCTACAGTCCACAACTATCATGTCTGGTGGGTATCTGGATTTAGCTAGCATCCTGCCCTCTTTTGGGAAAACCGCATCCTATGTCAGGCCGCCTTAGGTGCGCCACTTCACTGTGCATTACTTTTTTCCAAACAGAGGTTTATGGAAGATCTCTTAATTGCTCTCCTTTGCACCCAATATGGTATGGACGAACCTACAACCCATATCAAATGCTCGGGGAGAAAATTCCCTGTTTGTTGGCATAGTTCATTGTCTAGGTTTCGGTCGACACAGAATCCCTTCTCGGACCATGGCAGGCTTGCGGGAACGCCACTGCCAGCTGAACGTCTCCTCGCTTGACCACGTGGAGGGACTCTATCCTTGCATGGCCTGTCTGCCATGTGCTCGAAGCGGCGAGGTTGAAGGCGTCTACATTCCCTGTGCATGTTTACGACGGCGTTGTGAAGATGATGCTCAGAAACAGCTGAAGTAAAGCCAATCTTTACCACGTGCGTCAAATGCCTCCAATGCAAAGTTAAATTTCTTATTTCAAATGATGTTTGTCGAACAGCTGGCAGTAAAGAAATGGATAGATATAAGATTTGATGACCATGAAATTCACGAGAAAAACATTCCAAAAGCGGTGAATTACTGTTAAACTATCTGGCTGTGAGAATTGAATTAAAATTAAGAGGCGAAAAGTGGGGTAATAAACGCACCAAATTAAAACGATTTATTGCAAAAGAAACATAAATCTACTTTTTTCAAACGCATTTGACGAACAGGAAAATAGGTTTAACTGTCCGTTTACTTTTATAAACGTTTCTAAACA